AAGGAAGGAAGGAAGGAAAGATGAAGAGGAAGGCAAAGGAAGGAAGGAAGGGACAATGGGAGAGGGAGGGAAGGAGGAAGAGACCAAGAGAGAGGGAAGGAAAGGAAGTTCCAGCCAGCAGAGGCTTGGCAGCCCGGCTGCCGAGGAACAGAAGAGCTCAAAGCCAAGGAGAAGAAGGTGGCGGTTTCATCCCAAAGGGGGCTCCTTTTCTCCACCCCTTCCCTGGATTTGTGGGGAATTTCTCATCACCAACGCTGACAGGTGCTCCTTCAAGCCCACCGTGAACTTTCTCACCCCCTTTGCTTCTCCCCCCTGCTTTTGTGAGGATTGTGGCGTCCTTGGGAAGCTGATCGTGCTTTGAAGCTTAAGAGAGGAGGAGGAGTCCCTTCCTCCTTCTCTCCCTCTCTCTCTGTCAAGCCCCGGCAGGCTCGACATGAACGGGTGGAGGAGGAGACGAGGATGGGCAGGGTGGCAAAGGAGACAGGCAGCCATTGCCAGACCTCCCAGCTGACAAGTGCAAGTTCGGGGGTTGCCAGCTGATGGGCGCAGGAGTTGGGTGCTGCGGTGATCTCCCCTTCGCTGACTTGCGTGCATGAGAAGTCAATCCGGTTGCTGCACAATGAATCTCGGGAGGGCGGGGCCTTGCTCTGCGCCTGCGCTCTTCATGCGCCCCCTTCAGGGCACATTTGGTAGAGTTCGTGCCACCAAGCAGCATATTTTCCACAAACAAGTGAGGTGGAGTGGAGGGGGGAGGGAGAGAAGGCAGTTGACAAGCCCTGCCTAAGACCATAAGAAATATGTATTTTCTGATGGTCTTAGGTGACCCCTGTGAAAGGCTCGTGCGACCCTCAAAAGGGTCGCGACCCACAGGTTGAGAACCGCTGCCTTAGAGGGTCGAAAAGACGCTCTGGAAGAGTGTCTACCGTTGAGGAGGCTTCTCGGATGGTTGAAGAGGAGCGGCGGCGTCCTCTGTGCACTGAGTATCTCCTTTGGGCCGACAGGTTAAAGATCGGCCAGTAAAATGGCCAATCATTTAGCTATGCCAACCGTAAGCCATAAGATCATCTAAGTAAGCAGACCCACCGTGAAAGATTCGGTGAGATTTTTTTTTAACCTCTATTTTCTTTTCTTTTTTCCTGTGAAAAGTTTTTTTTCTGGAATTATTCCCCTTTTTGTTGAAGTGACATTTTAAATGGGGGGAGGAGAAGCTTAAGAAAAGGACAAAACCTATTTTTGTTTTAATGGCTGATTCTATTTTTGAATACTTTGGAGCCCCCCAAAATTTTCTTTTAGAGAGACTTAAGAGGCTATGCATCTGGAGAGTATTATTTTTCCTTATTTTTTATGTTTTCTGAAAAGACTGATTAACTTTGATTACTTGTTGGGGGACATTTTCTGCTGAAACTATGTATTTCTCTTGCTATTTTTTTTCTTTTCTCTTGGAATTTGCATAAAGGAAAGAGACTAAGAAATTTGGGAGGAGATGGATATTGAGTGACTGTGTTTAAATATAGTCTCCCCCAAAAAGAGAATGTCTTCAAATATGATAAAAATGGAGGAAACTCGTTCAGACTCTATTTATAAATATATTTTGGATAAAATCTTAGAAAACACGGAGATGATAATTGCTTGTAAAAAGGAGATTTCTTTACATCAACAAAGTCAAGCACAAGCTTTAAGTGACTTATATTCAGAAGATTTGCTCTCAGCTTACTGAGATGGAAGAAGCAAATAGATTTGCAATTGATACCGGGAATAAGCCCTGATATAAATGGTCAGATGACCTATAATATGGAAATGGAGGAGCTTACTTTGGAAGATCAAGCTGATTTGTAGATACCATTTGACTTTCTGAGAGAGGAAAAACTATTGGAAGAAGAGCAAAACTTGACTAAAGAGGACTATACAAAAAAAAGGATTTCAATTAAAGTTTATGTAACCTTGAAAAAGCTGGGAAATGACATTTTGGCACGAGCTTTTTAGAATGACTATAACTCTTATACTAGCCTAAGAAAATGAATAATGGGAGATCTCTTGCTCCTATGCACAGTGTGGCAGGAGATAGTGGGAGAGCTATTTGCGGGACTAGAGACTCGACTATGGAAACCTATTTGGAATAGAAGGAAACCCAGAATAAGATATAAATATTAAATTTGAGATGATAATTATGGATGGTAAAGGTTTTATAGCGATTTGGACTGTCTTGGATTTGGTTTGTTTTAAATTGGAGGCTATTATGAAATGATTTAGAATTTAATATTGAAGTATAGCAAGAACATGTGTTCTTTTTTCTCTGTTATGTTTTTCTTTTTTTTCTTTTCCTGTTTGTGGGTTTTGTTTTGGAATGAGATGGAATTAATAATTGGAGAATTATTGAAAAAGAATAGAAATATAGTTGAGAAATGTAGGAATTTAGTTTTGGAGCTAATATGTTTAAATAAGAGAAATTTGGGGGCCCTGAAATAGTTAAATAATTAGGTTAGCTTAAATTCAAATATTTGGAAAAATTAATAAAGTTTAAAACAGGATCTTTGGGATAGATAAGGAGCTTTTATTATTGACTAATGAAATTTATATTTGGCAATATACTTAATGAAAATCTGTGTTAGAAATGTACTAATGAGATTCTAATAATTTAAATAGAGAGCGTTGGTTTTGATTTAAGCATTTAATTTATATTTAGCAACATATTAAAAAATGAATTGGCTATAGGATTGTATTAATTTGATTATTATATTGATGTTGAGTGGTTGAAAGTTTTTATTGATTAAGGAAATTTATATTTAGATATATTAATGAATGAACTTATTTGAACTTGATTATAATTTCTATATAGATAGAGAGGGAAGTTTTAAGAAATATTGTGTGAATTGTATATATATAATGTTATTGTTTTCTTTTTGTAATTGATCATCATATCTCCACGCTGGTTCTTAAGCTTCTGTTGGTGTAAAATGGAAAATAATAAAAATTGTTTATAAAAAAATTTTTTAAAAAGAATTCAGATTTTGTATTTTATCTATGGCTTAGTGCAGGGGTTTCAAACTCGCAATGTTACGTGACGTGTCATGACGTATCGTGACTTTTTTTCCATTGCCGGCAATGGGTAGGCGCAGTGTTGCCATGACACATTCGGCCCATGGGCCGCAGTTTGACACCCCTGGCTTAGTGTGATGCTTTCCCCATTTTGGAAGGGAAATATAGGATAACCTCTTATAAAACTCAACACTACCCCATGACACAGGTGTTATAGAAACCATAGCACAGTGGTTCTCAACCTTTTTAATGCCGCGACCCCCAACTGGTCGTAAGTCGAGGACTACTCAACCGGTCATAAGTTGAGGACTACCCAACCGGTCATAAGTTGAGGACTTTCCCTGCCCGAAAGCGCCGCGCATGCGTGGTGCCGCCCCCTGCGCAGGGCGAGCACCGGCTGGGCCACTAGCTGGCCCAGCCCAAGGGAGGTAAGGCACCTGCCGGGCCCCACGCACGCCAGCAACCCTCCCTGCGCCTGCCGGCCTCCCACCTCCCACCCCTGGCCCTCTTTTACTTACATTTTTAGTAGTTGCTCAGCAGGAAGGGGTGGAAACTTCCAGACAGCTCGCCTTCGCTGCAGACAACTTGCAGCACCGTTTGCAGAATGGGACTTTTGGCGGGCTCAGCAGGGCAGAGACAGCCTGGACAATTCCTATTGGCTTTTGAAAGCCAATAGAATTAGACTCTATTCAAGAGAGTCTATTCTATTGGCTTTCAAAAGCCAATAGAATAAAAGGGAGTAGCACAGCTAAGGAAAAGGGGGAAAAAATGGCGGACTGCGTTGTTTGGCGACCCCCGTGAAATGGTTGTTCGACCCCAAATGGGGTCGCGACCCACAGGTTAAGAACCACTGCCATAGCACATGTTCTTTTGTACTGCCAGTTCTACAGGGACATTCAGCTGATTTACTCCTTTTCATCTACATTTCCTAGGCACTCCAATAATTTTTATTTGCAGTGTTTGTTAATAAACCAGGATAAATCTTTTTCTCTAAAATAATAAAGTTTTGTTACATTATATGTAAGCTTTGCTCACAAATGGTTGTCATTGACATTAGAGGCTAACTTTGTTTTACTGAATGTATTTTTATTCGTCAATGACTAAAATAAAGTTTTTCTCTGTCTGACTGAGAACAGAATGTTACCAAGAGCACTGTGTGTATGCATTTATGAAGTTATGAGGAATCGAGCTTAACTCAGGTTTTAATTTACATTTTATCTCTGTTTCAAGGAATAAAAATAATGATTTTTTTTCGTTTAGAAAAATGATTACTTAATTGACATTTTTAATACATTATTTTTATTTTTTCTTTCCTTCTGTAATTATTTATTCTGTCCCTTACAGTACCCATTCCCCATATTTTAATTAATAAATTGAGTGGGAGAGAGAAAAATATTGTAAAAAGAGTTGGTATAATCATTTTTCCCACATCATAAAGGTCCTAAAACTAAGTTTTTTTAAAAAAAAATTAAGAGTATTCCAATGGGTTGTATATTGAATTTGAAGTCCATATTCAGACTGTGGCTTAGCAGTCTACAGGTATTCTGTATCCTGGTTTAAAGTAATGCAAACAAAAATAAAAGAATCAGGTGTGCCATGCATTAAATGTAATATATTCATCCTAAATATAGCAACTGACAATGATATAGGCATTTTTGTATATAAATTGTTGAACATTTGGAAGACTGAAATATTTTATGGCCTGTTTGGATTAATTGATGCTTATCTGTAAAACAGATGTAATGTGGAATTGTCTTATGGGTATGCTACAATAAAGAAGATGGGAATAATTTAGCACAGCCATTCCAAATGCTTGTTGCAAGTAGCTTAACACAAGTTGCTATTTACTTGCTTTCAATGATTTAGTATCGATATTGCCACAACTAAATTGGGGAACATGGAAATAATTTTGATAATTCTATTATGCATCAAGTATGTTAAATTGTAAGTTGTATTTTTCACAGCACAACACCAGATGATGAAGTTTCTAATAGATGTTCACGTACAGATAGGACAGGATATAGCAGATTCAACAGGGATGCAAATTCTTCTGGAAACTTTGTATCAGCTAATTCTTTGGAAAAGAAGATTGATGATCTTGAAAAGGTAAATATAATCAACATGAAAGCTGCAATCTAATGTCTATTGTTTTTACTGTTTTTAAATGAACTATTTTAAATTTTATTTTTTGAAGGATCTAGCAAAGGAGCGACAAGAAAACCTGAGACTTGTGAGGATAGCCCAAGATAAAGAAGAGTTGATTGGAAAATTAAAGGAAGAAATTGATTTATTAAATAGGGTAAGTTTTTCTTCAACCTAGCTGTGTTTCCTAGAATTCCTGTACAAGTCATACATTCCTTTGCCCCCCCCCCAAAAAAAATTGGATTTACATTTGTGCATAATCTGGCACATTGATGCTCATTTATTTGTTCACTCTTTTATTCATTTTTTCTTCTTTCAAAGAATCCAAGAGAGAAGTGTACTTGCAGTTTCTTGTCTTTAGAAGAGAAGAATTTTGGCAACAGAATGTTGGCTTTCAAATCTAGTGTTTAAACTTTAGATTTGCAAGCCAACATTCCGTTGCCAAAATTAGAGATCTTGCCTAACTTAAATAGAGTAGTTTGAGCGTGCTTGGAGTAAAACTGGGCTTGGACTGTATTTGTAACACAGGTGAAAATACAACAAAAACACCTGGTACAATTTTTATCAGGAAATTCTGCATGTGGCAAAAGGACAACTAAGACTGGTGCCCTGATCTATTCCTTTTCTATTTTTCTAAAAAGACTTATGGGAAGGCTTCAATTAACCAAATTGAAGTATGTGTGTGTGTGTGTGTGTGTGTGTTGTTGTTGTTGTTGTTGTGAAGATAAGAAATGGGAAAAGATGTAATAGTTCTGATAGAATTTCTTATGGAGTTGCGTTGATGAATATATGTAAGGGATGAATGCACATATTTAATTATGATTTGGAAATATATGTTGTAGATATGTCAGCTAGACTTGTGAGTGCAGGTGAAAGTAGGAATGGTATGAAAATAATAGTTGCGGCATTAGGGTGAACAGAAGGTAATTGAGAGCAGTGCAGAATGATAAAGGAAAAAGTACAGCAAGTTCATCAAAGATGGACAGAGCAACAGTTGCAGCATGCAGCAGTGGTGGGTTAAAAGAGTGAATAGTGATGAATTATTAATAATTTGTAAATATTGTTTATGAATATAGAGGTAAAAGCTGTTTCTTAATGCTATAAAATGATACGTTAAGCAAGCAAAAAATTAATGAGAATAAATAGAATATTAGAAGTATGTTTGTGTGTACTTTTACATGCAGATATACAATTGATGACTGAGGACCCAGATACTTTACACCCAAAATTAGCTTGTATAATGCAATGAAAAAGCATAATTCTGAAAAATAATACTCTATTTGACAAAAGAATGGAGTGAACGCAAATTACAGTTAGTAGTGAAAAATCAGAACAAATATTTTGGAAAATGGTTTAGGAAAGATGGAGAAATGGGTAGAGAAATTTGAAGAAGGGGAAATACTGGTAGAATAATGGGAATAAAGAATGATGAAATAAGTGTAAATGGCTGAATAAAAGAGCATACTATGCCCATTTGGTCATCTAAACTTGAAAATTGGATTTATTAGGAAAACACAGTTGAATTCAGTAGGTGTGCATTACTTAAGTTTGTAAGATAAAACAAGAGGAGATAGAACTAATTGTAATTAATATGGACTTGGTACAAAACTGAAAGAAGAATATTGAGATTGTTTAGTTATATAGAGAGATTAAATAAGGGTCAAATTGTAACAAGGAAGAAGAGTGAATGAATTGAAAAGAAAGGGAAGAGTGAGAAACTTGTGGATAGAGATGAGATTCACAAAAGTATCAGATTTAACAAAAAGCAGTATATGGTATGAGTTGTTTACAGAGTTGGTGGAAATGTGGGTGTTCGCAAGAATAGAAAATTATGGAGAAACATAGTGAGTGTTCTTGTTGTAAAGTAGCTTGAATGCAGTTCCTTTTTTAATGTCTTTTTTCTTACTTAATTTTTGCATTTTGAATAAGGTTTCCTATGCTCAGAAAGATGAGTATGTATATATGCATGTAAAATGGATAAACTATTGCTGATTTATTGTTAGGCAGTTGAAACATATTAGAAATGTTAAATAAAATGGCCAGTTCTAGTGGGATTCTAAAAACTACTCTTGAGAAATACAGTATGAGTTCTTTAATCATAATAAAGTAGCTGTTCTAGGTGCCCAATATTTTCTTATTTGAATTTATTGTGTATTACATGGCATTGCTTCTGAAACACAGTTTGTAATTTAGGAAAGGAATTTCAGTTCATTGGGAAACAAATCCTGCACACAATTCAATTAATTTGTTTTTTTTAATTGTTTGAATATTTAAATTTCAGCCAGTGGTTATGATTGGACCTAGTCCAAGTAACTCATACTTTTAGTCATTTTGGAATGTTACTTGTGCTAGATAAACATTCCAGAATGTGTTTATATCAAATATCGAGTAAATGTTTAATGTTTCTGTCTCTGCTTTAAAACAATTATTTTGATCTGTACTTGTGACACCCACTTGAAAGACAAAGGTAAACTTAAATTGTAGCTTTCTTGATATTTGAAAATCCTAGATATGGTCCATACTTTTTTCAGACATTAAATAAAAACAGTGGTGGACTTCAAAATTGTATTCTGACAATGCTATTTCATTTTTCGAATGTGAAGTGCTATATTGCTTAAATCAGCAGCCCCAACCTTTTGGGCACCAGGGACCGGTTTCATGGAGAGAGGTTTTTCTGAAGGGGCGTGGTTTCGCAGGCTGTCTGCATCCTGCAGATGTGGCTTTGCTTGTTTGCGCGACCTGCAGACCAGTGCTGGTCCACGGACCGGGGGTTGGCTTAAGTAATCCCTGGTTTAAGTAATAAAACAATATCATGCTGATAAGTTTAGTGTTGCTCAACAAAAAACAATGCTGTTGAACATGTATTTCTCAGATGAGTTCCCACAACCAGTTTTGATAAGGTTTTTTAATTTATACTGATGCTTAAATTTTTTGCTGCAAAGAGCAAATACCAGAGATAACAACTCAAAAAGATAGGGGGGATTACAATAGATATTGAAATAGTTGTCATCTTAGCCACAGTTGCTAATAATGCACATAGTAATGCATAAAGTAAAGCCATAAAATGATGCATAATTAAAATTAATCAAGGCTCCACAAAACTGCTTTGTAACCCAGAGCAAAACACATGTCCTGGGGTCCACTAACATCCTGATACCAGGGCTTGAGGAAAAAGCCAGGTCTTCAAGGCTTTCCAGAAGGTCTGATGCAGACATGTCAAACACAAGGCCCAGGGGCCAGATGTGGCCTGCGAAGCCATCCTGGAAACAATGAGGGAACGGCCCCCACTGCTGTGGCCCTGGCCCAGGCTGGCCAGGAGCCAATGTACAATTTTGTGGTGGCCATCTATGCTGAAACGCATTCAGTCTTAGCTCCACAAGGCCGTCTGGAAACAGCGAGGAATCAGTCCCTGCCGCGTTGGCCGCACCCCTTGGGTGCATGCTGGGGAGGTGTCACTCTTTGTGAGGAATGAAAAAATGCACCATCACCTGGAAGTGGCCAGCAAATGGCCCTTGTCTACTTCACATATCCGGCTTGATGGGCTCTGGGGGAGGGGTTTCGGCAGGCAGTGGAGCACTCTCACAGCGCCGAGAGGCTGAGCCAGGCAGCGCAAATCCAAAAAGAAACGCGAGGCCGCTCAGCTCCCAGCCTGCCCGGTTTCAGCAGGCAGCAGGGAGCTCTCCTCACAGCGCCAAGAGCTGAGCCGGGTGGCGCAAGATGAGAAGTGCAATGCTGCCTAGCCCCCAGCCTGCCCAGTTTCAGCAGGCAGTGAGGTGCAAAGCTGGCGAGCTTCGCACCACCCAGCTTAACGTCTCGGCGCTGTGAGGAGAGCGCCCTGCTGCCTGCCGAAACCAGGCAGGCTGGGGGATGGGCAGCATTGCTCAGGTAATGTTGACTTTCACGCTGCTCATGGTATCCCCTCCCCCAGAGCCCACTAAGCCAGATTTATGAAGTAGGTGAGGGCCATGTGCATTCCAGGCGATGGTGCATTTCTTCATTCCTCATGCAGGGTGACACCTCCCCAGCTGCATTTCTTGCCTGTTTTTCTCCCTCCCTCATCTTAAATATTTTCCCACCACTCTGTACTTAGGAAGGAAGGAAGGAAAGAAGGAGAGGGAGGGTCTGAGGGAAGTCCTGCCTTAGTCCTACCCTGCTGCCATTTCACCATCCCCTTGCCCCTTCCTCCTGGCCTAATCCTGGGGGTCTCCCATCCTATTTCTAAGGAAGCTTTGGATACAAAGCTGGGTCTCCTCCCATGGAGAGGGAATGGGCCTCCCTCTGACTTTGCCCTCGTACCCATCATAAGCAACCTGAGTAAGGAGAGCAAGCACAGCAGCAACAGCCTTGAGGAGGAGGTAAGTGCAGCTGGGCGCCCCCTTGGGGAAGTGAGGCTGGGCTTGGTGCCGCAGGTGCTCGAGGGCCAGGCTGGGTGTTTGACCTCTGCTGCCCAAGGCTCCGGGCAGCCTGCGCCACCATCCAGCCCCCCTGCATGGCCTGAGAGGAACAGTGAGGCTCCTCCAGTGGACCATGCGTTGGCACTTGCCCTGGTCCCACCCCCTTCTGCCAGAGACCCTCAGATCTGTCCCACTGCTGCCCAGGCCCCCACAGGCACCCTTGACGGGAACAATGTAGAACTGACTACACCCACTCCATCCACGCCCACCTAGTAGGTCACACCCACCCGGCCCCTCAAGGGCAACTGCAATGCTGATGCGGCCCTCAGTGAAATTGAATTTGACACCCCTGGTCTAATGGCTCAAGGCTAGTACAGAGTGATGTGTATGTGAGAACGCAGATCAAGTCACCACTGCCTCAAGAGGCGGAAAAAACAGATCTGGTGTAGAAACCCTTCCAGTGAGTCAGATCATCTCTACCCTGGATCACTTTGCAGTTTCCATGGTGACAAAAGATCTCTTGAGCTACCTTTGATCCCAAGCTGGGAGAAGGCAGAATCATATCTCAACCAACCATCAAAACGGCACAAGTAAGAAAGTACTGCATTAACCATTAGGTTTGGGGTGGACATGCCATGTCAGCTATTATAATATATCTTTCTCAGGTTTAACAGGTTTCTGTAAGAGAATTTATAATTCTTAAATCCCTTTTGTTAACTTTATTCTTTTATTTTCAAATATACATGGTATATAAATTTGTGTGTTTGCATGTGTTTGTGTATATGTAGTACATTTGTATTTTATACTGCTATTTCAAAGTTTATATTATTAATTTTAATCTTTTTTCTCCTTGTTGCATATGTTAGCCTGAGCAAGCCCTTTAGGGTGTTTTTTATTTAATAATTGGTTTTTAGCCTATTTGTTTTGTCTGTATGTACTTTTCTTAACTATCCTGACATTGTCAATTTAATTTTGGATATTCTGGATACTTAAATACCAATTATCCTGTGCTGGTTAACAGCCATAATAAAGTTAAGTATATAAAGCATTCATATCAGAGTAAATTGTTTGTTACAGAATATAAATTATGTTTATTAAGTAGCTCCCAACCAGTTTGTTAGCCATCTCAATCTATATTTCACCATTTTTTGGTTTTATGGACTAAAATTCATATCATGTATTGCAGAGTGAATTATTAACTGAATGATTAAAAAGAACTTAATTAATAGCAGTATATCTTGTTTTATTCTCTCTCAAAGGATCTAGATGATATAGAAGATGAAAATGAGCAATTAAAGCAGGAAAATAAGACACTGTTAAAAGTTGTTGGACAGCTGACAAAATAGAAGATGGAAGCTGACAAAATAGAAGATGGAAGCCTCAGTGAGGAAGGAAATATGAAACTACTGATATGAATGTTTAAGGGTCAAGATTAGGATATTTCCTTTGTGGCAATATGTCAAAACAATTGTCTTTATATTTATTATTAAGGAGCAGGGAGAAATGATGAATGTTTTACATGAAGCTGTTACTTCTAAGCTCATCCCCTTGAATTTCCCAAAGTGATTCAAATGATGCTCATTGAGATGCATTAGGTGTTTATATATATTTGACCCAGTTATACTTTTTAAAGAATTCCTGATTACAAAGGTCACAGTTAGTCAATATGGAGATTACTTGTAGGGGAGGGGTTTTTTCCTGCTCTATGAATAGAAGAAATAGGAATAAAACCTGTTTATACAGGGTCAAAATACGTATTTTGGGAGGTATTTGTTCTTTCTTTGAACAGATATAAAGTGCATTACTGATATAAAAATTTTTACAGAGTGTTACTCTGCAAAAATCTTGTATGTTGTGATTTTATTTTATACTTTATCTGAAGTACTGACAGTAATAGATAGTATTTTCCTGTATAGATGCTGTTTGACAAAAATGTTTTATAAATCATAAATAAATCACCAATAATTATCAAAACTAATAAGTAGTTTTTAGAAAAATGTGTATATTGCATACTGCCACACAGAGCTTATGTTTCCACAGGAAGAATTCAGAGGGTGCCATTTTTTGAAATTTAGTACTTCAAATATTACAATCACAGTTTTTATTGGACTAAGAACAGTCTTTCTGATTTTATATATTAAGTTACAGTTTTCTGATCTAGATACAATGGGAATCATTGCCTAACAATAGTTTAACAAATCATATAACCTTTGCTTTGAGAAATATTAGTGTTCTTGGCCAAATAACTATAGACCAAAACTGTTCATTTAAACCATGCCTGTATGAATGGATTTCATCCAAAATACATGTATAAGGTTAGCATCAAAATAAGTATAATGGATTTGTTTTGCAACACCATGATCTACCAAGCTGTTATATGATTCATAGTGGTTTTTGTATTGTGATAAAGTTTTAATTGATATAGTTTACAAAGGAATTTTATGATTGTTCACCCCTCTAAAAGTATTATAGAAAATATCTAGAATAACACCAATGCTTTTTAAATAAAGTATGTTGCATGTTCTATTATAGTCTAGTGTCAGTTGTCTATGTCACTGTTGTGCAACAATTGTCTGTTCTGTATATGTTAGAAAACTCCAAAGTTGCATTTTAGAGAATAATTTTTAGCAAGGAAATTTAAATATAACATTTAAGCTTTCAAAATACCTCCACTGCTTTGTCAGGCAAATAGGAAATAGAAAAAAAGTGGAGAAGGAAAAATAGAAAAAAATAATCAGCTCTGAAAAACTCAAAATCATCATTTCTGACTTTTCAGATAGTCTTACCCTTGACTCTGGATGTTTTTCTTTCGAGCAACACAGCTACCTTTCCTTTTGCTTGAAAAAATATAATTGTGCTTCTAATGATCTAGCCTTTTCTGTTTTGAAGTCAGCTATATAGCCTTGAAAAATACTTTGTCAACTGGACCTCAAAAGTAGCACTGGAATTCATAGGCATCCTTAGTTGCTTCCTAATGCCAATGTTTATGTATGAAAAGTGTATTAATATTGCAAAGGCAATTTCTATTGAACAAAGTTAATGTAGTCAACTTTCCCCCCATGACTCACTATTTGAGAATATGCACTAATTTGTCCATACCTTTTTTTCTCTAATGATTGCAGTTATAGATGCAGCATACCAAAAATGCTCTTAGTAGATCACAATGCTTAGCAACTCTGTAACTACTCATAATAGATTACATTTTTGTATTTTTAAAGGCTGTATAGGTGATTTATGACTGTAATTAGGGTTCAGATCTTGCCTGTTGAGTGAAGCAGTCATTAAGTGAGATGCCACATGACTGCTTTGTCAATTACTGCAATCCCAGTATCTGCCAATCCCGGTTGCAGTCATTAAGCTACTTATTAAGTGGATGGAGCAAAATCTTCCTGGCAGACAGCCCTTTTACTCTCAAATGTTTCTGTACACTACCAAAGGATTTCAGCTCCATTCCAAGCATTGAGAGGAAATCCTTTTTGAGACTGCAGGAACAAAGCTGAAATCTTCACAATTTCACTAACATATCTGCAGTTTTAAAGCATTGTGTGGTCCTTGACTAGCAACAGCAACTGGGACTGCTAGAATTTCCATCAATAAGCAATATGGTCACATGGTATCATACTATGCAGCTGCGTCGTTTAATGATGATAATTCTGGTCCTCGTTGCTGTTGTAATCTGAGAATTATCTGTAGCCCAAATTAAGATACTCACCAGGAAAAAAACTAGTAAAACAAAGGAGAATGAGACAAAATAAGTTCAAATCCCAGTGTAAAAGTCTTTAAGTGTATTATTTTCAGATGTTGGTAAAGAGAATTGTAAGGATATATGTCCCCAAATAAAATGTATGTATTGTTCAAAAAACGTATAGCTTCTTTACAGTCTGCAAAAAGTAATATATTCAGCTGAAAAACTACATTTTAGATTTTCCTGGATGAGCAACTCTTATGATTAAAATAAATAAAGAACCTAGTTGGATACTCAAGTCGTTTCTGCAAGATAGTAGCTTCCAGCTTAGTTTAAACTGAGTTCAATCATTCCTAAACTATCTCTCCCTAAACTGCATAGTTTTCATCAGTTACAGTGATTCATGTTTGAAGAAATGCAATAGACAATTCAATAGGAAGAGAAACTGATCAATTTTTCATAAAAAGTTTATATTAAGTACAACATACTATTTTAAGAGTCTCTTAAACTCTGGAAAGATTATTTGGGATTCAAGTACCAAGTATTTTATTACAGCCAAAGGCCACACATAAATCAAACATCCAAATAAAACAAAACTAGACAGAGCCATCACAAGAGGACATAGCAATAAATCACAATCAATGGGCGACCAAGGTCTGCCTAGTTTTAGAGGCAGTATATCAAATACAATGAGTATAGTCTAAAACTGGATAAAACACGTAATAAAATCAATTTTAAAAGATTATTAAAAAGATCTAAAATGTTTATGTTTCTGGCAAATCCCCAATGCTGCTTCACAGAATCTGGCCACCTGCTCCTTGGTCTCTGTCTGCTTATCCTTAAGCAGCCACTGGAGATAGATACTTTCCGAACAACCAGGATATCTATCAATTATGGGGAGGATATGGTTTTTCCGAATGGCTCTGTAGAAGGAACATCGAAGGAGTATGTCTCCAATGGTCTCCACTTCTCCTGAGCCACAGGAGCAGAGTCTTTCAGACAGTGGTGTCTTTTTGTACTTGCCATACAAGACGGACGATGGAAACGCATGGCACCGTGCAAGTGAGAATGCTTTCCAATGGTTTACTGACTCCAACTGACTAAGATACCTGGCAGGTGTTACCACGTATCTAATAGAGTCTGGAGCCAGAAACAGCGGAGCTATACCTAAGTCCGCTTGCCTCTCGATGTCCTCTACCCTTTGACGCAAGATTTGTTTTGCTTGGTCATAATCCAATTTGAGAATTGAGGCTGACAAGAAACCTAGTTTGGCAAGGTTGGACTTGACTGCCTTGATCCATGAAAAGAAAAAATTATCTTATAGAATTAATGGAGCAAGGCCTTGTGGAAAGCAATTAAGCCTTAGCCAGATGTTTAAGGAAGCTATGCAGATTCTTGCTTGTGTCTCCAGGTGCAGAAGTGCATTGGGAGCACAGCATGGCATCTGGAGAATTGTTCTGATAAATTTGGATTGAACTCTTTCCAGTGGTGTAAAACACGAAGCTGAGGGTCCGAGCAAGGTCCCGTAAAGAAGCTGTGCTAGCGACTTGGCCAAAAAGAGCTTAATTGCAGCTGGAACATAGTGTCCTCCCTTTGTGTGGAAAAATTTAAGAATGGCGTTTGCTGATCGTTGGCCAGAGGCAGCCGCGTATTCTCCATGGGCTTTTTGTGAGCCGGTGGCATGGATGACCACCCCAAGGTACTTAAAGGTGGTTACCTGCTCTATTTTGTGGCTATTTAAATACCATGTGCACTGTTTTGGCCTTTTTGCAAAAGCCATAACGTTTGTTTTCTCATAATTTATGTCCAGTTTATTATATTTGCAATACTGGATAAGAGATCGCAAGGCTCTTTTAAGGCCAACTGGAGTCCTGGAGAGAATCACAGCGTCATCTGCATAGAGCAGCAGAGCAATGTTTCAGTCATCTATTTTTGGGGGGTGGTAATTTGGATTGTTTAATCATTTTACCATATCATTTATGTAAAAATTGAAAAAGAAGGGGGGCAAAATGTACCCATTTAACCCCCTTTTGAGTTTCAACTGACCTCAAGAGAGACCCTTGGATATTACCCCCCACCTTGAGCAATGTTTTCATATGTAAGGCATGTAACAGATGGAGGAGCCTGTGATCAATTGAGGTAGCTTCCAGCTTCTCCCATAGCTTAGTCCTTGTAACCGTGTCAAAAGCTGCCTTAAGATCTATAAAGGCAACGTATAATGATACAGGTCTATCTGATGCATATTTTTCAATCAAATGAAGAACTAAGCACTGATCTATGGTGCCTCTCCCCTCTCTAAATCCGGCTTGTTCTTCAGCAATCAAGTTCTCAAGGTCCAACCACTCCTTTAATTTATCTTTTTTTTTAATATACATTTTATTGGTTTTTTTAATTTTAACATCAAAGTGCTCAGGAAAACAGCGTGGTGAAAGGGTAATCAATCATAACTAAAATTAATACCTTAAAAATTTTTTCCCCCTCTATTTATCTTGAAGGTGTTTGGCATAGAGTTTGCTGATTATATTTAGCAGACTTATTGGTCTGTAGTTGGCAGGGTCGTCTCGCTTTCCCTTTTTATAAATTGGGATCACAATTGCCAAGCCCCAATCCTCTGGGACCTGGCCAGTGGAGTCAATATAGGTGAATAGCGCTGCCAGAATGGGTATCCACCACTCCATATTATTCTTTAATAATTTGGCCGAAATGAAGTCAGCTCCTGGAGCCTTCCCGATCCTGAGTTGGCCAATGAGGGATTTGATTTCAGACTCTGAAACTGGAGGCTACTCCAGTAAGTCCTTCATTATAGACCTGTACTCTCGCTGGAGGGGTCTTCATACATTCTCCGAAAATGGAGTTCCCAGGTTATAGGAGATATATGACAGTCTAATGGGGTATAGATTCAGAGTGGCAAGCTATTAGATGCCAAAATAAAGAGTTCTTTTGCTTTGTTGCCACGATGAGCTGTTCCCAAGAAGACCTTGTGTCTTGTCTCTCCTTGAATGCAATCGATTGCTTGAATTGTTTTTTAAGTGTAAGTAACTGATTAAGAATTGCTTTATTGCCATATCCAATCTTGCTTTTGTATTCCTTGTATGCCAAGTTAAGGGCTTTCTTGGCTTCTACGCAATCCTTATCAAACCATGGTTTGGAGATGGTACAGGACCTCTTAGCTGAGAAATTTCGGTCATGTGCTAATAATGATTGTAGCTCATAAACTAAACTTTTATATAATAAATCTTGAGTCGGGTTGGCTGATATAAAGGCTGCGCCGATTTTTTGAAAATTATCCTCTGTTAGGGCTCTCCTTACCTTCTCATCAAGTTGTTGGGCCGAGGTGGCGCAGCAGTTAGAGTGCAGTACTGCAGGCCACTTTAGCTGACTGTGTTCAGCAGATCAGCGGTTCAAATCTCACCGGCTCAAGGTTGACTCAGCCTTCCATCCTTCCGGGGTAGGTAAAATGAGGACCCAGATTGTTGGGGCCAATGTAAATATATATATATACATTGCTTACCGGTGCACACCGCTTAGAGAGTGCTCGCACTTAAAGCGGTATATAAGTCTCATAAATAAATAAATAAATTTGACCCGGCATCTTGTTAGGCTGGCTGTAGAGATTGCAGGGATAAAATGGTCCTTGGAGGTTATCTGCCTGATAAAGGGCTTCATGTATATACACAGAGGAAGATAATCACTTTCTAGGTAAGGCAGGAGTTCAACTTCCATAGAAGTTAAGATGTAGTCAATGGTGCTAGTTTTGGACCCTGCTATAAATGTAAATTTGCCAGGATAGTCACCAGGCCATGAGCCATTTGATATGAAGAAGTTATTTGCCAACTTGGCAAGACAAAGGCCAGTATAGTTAGCTCTAATGTCTTTAGAGAGTCATATGAGGGGGGCATTGGTTTGTATAGGGACCTCCGATGATGGATATTGATGGTGTTTCATGAATAATGTATGTTGTTGTTAATTGCGAAGTCATGTCCGACCCATCGCGACCCCATGGACAACGTTCCTCCAGGTCTTCCTGTCCTCTACCATCTTCTGGAGTCCATTTAAGTTCACACCTACTTCTTCAGTGACTCCATCCAGCCATCTCATTCTTTGTTGTCCCCTTCTTCTATTGCCCTCAATCTTTCCCTGCATTAGGCCCTTCTCCAGTGAGTCCTTCCTTCTCATTAGGTGGCCAAAGTATTTGAGTTTCAACTTCAGGATCTGGCCTTCTAAAGAGCAGTCGGGGTTGATCTCTTCTAGGACTGACCGGTTTGAATGCCTTGCAGTCCAAGGGACTCGCAGGAGTCTTCTCCAGCACCATAGTTCAAAGGCCTCAATTCTTTGGCACTCAGCCAAATAATGTATAATCACCAATATAATATCCTTACCTTTCAGAGGATCAGAGTGGTGAAGGCCTCTGAAATGATACCACCCGGCTACATTCCATGACATGATGTTTAAAGTGTTTTTCTTGCACTGGCCTTCATATAGTCAGTTCAAGTTCTCCATAGGGGCACTTGTTGGAGGATCATTATGATAATTGTTATTTGATGTATTAACTTGAATAGTTATTTTCAATGCTTCTTTTAAATCATCCAGTCTTTGTGTATAATTAGCTTGCTCGGGATCTGGCAATATATCGTTAAAGTCTATCAACATTTCTTCTGGCACGCCCTCAGCAGAATCAGTGACTGTGGGTAACTCTGTGGATCACTTCTCTGTTTTCTCAAGGTTGATTCAGGTGCTCGTGTTTTAAACTTATCAGTATGAAGTCTGTTGCTGCTTAGATTTAAAGCAATAGTTCCCTCATGGAGAAACTGAACCAGGAGTAGGCTCAGGTTCCCTGAGTGGAAAACATGTATTGGAAATATTGAAAAAGTGGTCAGGAAGTGCTTCATTCTAAGAAGCATTGAGGGAATTATGGACTGCTTGAAGGATAGCAAAACCCACATATATTGCCTTCTTGCGGGCAGCCACTCTGCATGTAATAATCTGCATGTACTCGCAGCGGAGCAGCTGGCTCAGAGACTGCCTATAAGCTCTTCTATCACTCCAACGTCCTCTATTCCATCTGTTGTCATAGATTTGCAAGGTGACCTGGTTTGTCTGTAAACTGAGGTTATAATGGTCACCTCTAGAACTATCTGACTGAGTGTTGTTTTCTTTGTGGATAGTCTTTCCTCTCT